AAGGGCCTAGAGGAGTACAACTACAAAAGAAATGACACACTGAAATGAAAACTGTCAAAAAGCTTATGAACAGGATGAGTAACGACAGTGTTGGGTATGAAGTGATGTGGTTCCTCAGTTACATTAGCTCCAGCTGTCTTTCTTATAAAACGACAAAACCAGAGTTTCCTTAGTCTTGTTTGGACATTGTCAAATGTGAGGTGCAGTTCCTTTGCGGCTTCAACCAACTCTGGTGCTTTTTGTAGGACATGTTTAATGTGTGGGTACAGACGGACGTTTTATACAGGAGACACGGCACTCTATCCAACTGTATAGGGAAAGCCTTGAAGGCCAAATATGGCAGTTACCCCACCCCTCCCGCCAGAAAACCAAACTTCTGCTTTTAACAGCCGGGGTGTAAAACATATTTCAGCCAATCTTGTGGTTCCACTCACTCGAGTCAACTGCGCATGCGTAGTACAAGAGAAACTGGTAGGTAAAAACGAGTTTTAACCTCACATGCATTTCCAGTACAAGATATTCCAAAGCCCTATCCTTAGGCGTCTTATGAACTTTTTCTCCAGGATATCACCATAATGCAATTCAGTGGAAACAAAATGAAATATAACTGCTCTGCCATGAACTTTTTTAATGGCTGAAAGAGTAGCTGTGTCATGTGGAGACGGGGGGAAAAAGACGCGAGCTCCCGTCAGACTCGGGAGGAGAATTCTGATAATCCACAAGGCAGCCTTCTCACTAATTCAGAAGTTTACAGCAGCAGGGTGTTTTCCAATGTTTGAATAGTAATGAGTCAGCAGTAATGAGTGAAGAGAATCCATACAAGTCTTTCCATACAACATTTATCCAACATATAGAGCACATAGATGATTTCAAAGGCATTTAATGTACAATCTCACCTTCACCATGGATGCACTAGTGGGTAAGGAGTGACATCTTGTACTCAATCCTGAGTGAGACAGGAAGCCAGTAAATTCAGAAAATTCTAAAAGGTTTAGAAACTTCGAGCACCACTGTATAGCATACATCCATGGCAATAATTAACGTCATGTAATGTTATGTATTAATATAAATGTACGAGCTATGGCTGCAGAACATTGACTGTGAAGCCATAAGGTAACTCTTATGAGGTTCTCAAGAGCAGCAGGCCTGTAGAAAGTCCAAAAACATAATTAAATTATAAAAGAAAAGGCTGTCAATGCTGAGAATGTCTTCTCAGGACGTCAGTCAGGTGTGTGAGGCCATATTTAAAATGTTCTGGCTGATATTGTACAACAGTATGCTTAAATCTTTTCATTTCAAACAAAAAACTATTTATAAACTACATATATATGTAAACTAACTAGAGCACAACTACCATGGCATGTGGCCTTCTTAATTCTTCTTAATTTCTAATAGTGTCCCTCAAAGTGTTGACCACAGACTCCACATGTGTTATTGAGAGAAAGTCTGATCACTCAGTGTTCACCTGATCAACAATCAGGGCCACAGTGCTGACTTTGTAGGTGCGGGCATACTGTACTGGCTGAGGCCCAGGAGGTCTTCTGGCTGGCAGCTTTTCTGCACAGTTAGCTTCAACTTTTTAAAGGTTTCCCTCATCTAGGCCTGTGTGTTTTTTGAATAATATATACATAAATGCCAATTTGTTTTTACTCATAGGGGGAGGAGCTGCTCTCATAAAACATAGGAGGGAGGAACTGCTTGGTCAGGTCAAAGTTCAACTAAAAAGCCATTGTAGTCTTTTTTTTATTTTAACTTTGTTTTTTGTTTGTATTTGTTAGCATACAATATCAGCCAGAACATTTTAAATGTGGCCTCAGAGGCCTGACCGATGTCCTGAGAAGACATTCTCAGCGTTGACAGCCTGTTTTTTAATAATGTAATTAAGTTTTTGGACTTTCTTTTGAGGACCTCGTAAAATGCTCTTAACTCATGGCTTCACAGTCAATGTTCTGCAGCCATAGATTGTACATTAAATGCATTTGAAAGTATGTATGTGCTCTATATGTTGAATAATTGTTGTATGGAAAGTGTTCTCTTCACTTGCATGATACAGTGGGAGTGTTGTATGTTATACACATGGAGAAGAAAGATTCACACAGTATATAGCACACTGGTAAATCCTTCTTTTGGCCAGATATGAAGTTAATTAGTTAACTTAAGTTCAGGAGCAGGGCCACGCCTAAAACCACACCTCGAATCAGCTGACAAGTATATCTACACCGGGGCTATTCAACCAGCCTCCTCTGTCTCAGTTTGCTCGACCCACCCTCCCTCTCCCTTCCCTTCATCCACTCACCCTTTACCCTCTCATCCCTTCATCCCTCATCCCTTCCTATTCAACCCGGTGCACCACTCTCTCATGTCTCATCTAGGTACCGTCTGGGGGGTCAATAAATCACTCGGGCGAAACTTCTACCGAGACGGAACCCCCAGCTGCCCACTCATCATGCAGCCTCCCAGATCAGCATCCAGATGGCATCCTTTCTCCACCACCATTCCCCCCTTACATTCATTCATCTATATGTACATCCAGGACATTCATTAAACCTTTAAACGACATATTGTTGTGGCGTGCTCCTTGCTAGTGAAGGCCTACATTAGGACATTTCTGATGTGCGTTTGTTGTCAGAGCTGCTGAGAAGCTGACAGCAGTGTTAGAACCAGGTTAGAACAGAAGGGCGTGCAGCTTTAACTCTGGGCTGAGGGTGAATGATGAAGATGATAACTAGGCTGCAAATAAGACATAAGACAAATATCAAAAACCAAATGAAATGAACAACAATAAATACATCTGTATCGGTAATCTGGATTCAAAACATTTACTAAAGACACAGTACATGCCACCTGCTGGTAGAAAGGGGAAACAACTTGGTACATTACGGTGGAAACCAGATTAAATATGAATTTAATATTCAAAATATAGCGCTGACAGTAACAACTCTGCATACACAATCATTTCTTAGGGTAACCTATATTAGCCTACCAACTGTATTGCACCAAACAATGCGCTTAAAAAAAACGTGACTCTTGCTGTTTACATGAATAAATGCACAATATTATAGTGCATGTAATCAACTACTGTTGCTAACGTATTTCTCTTGGTCCAGGTTTATTTATTTATTTATTTTCATCTAACATCACCCTGGTATACCAACGTTAGTGTTGCATAATGTTACAGATCTGACCGTTCTAAAAGCTTGGCTTTTATTTTAATGTGAACTATTACTTCACCTGGTCCACCTGTCTTTATTTTCTCAACAAACAAAAAAACAAACTATCAGAACGTACACGGACCTTGGAACTTGGATGGGAGGATCAGTCGTTTGGAATTGTAGATCAAATTAACTAGATGAACACAATGCACAATATTTACACACTACATACTGGAATGGAGGAGCAGTTGCTTGGAATTTGATATCTTTACATAGTAAACAAACATTTGCATATTCTCGTTTTGGAATTATGGCAGCAGAAAGGACCATTCATTTGGAATTACGCCCTTTTAAAGGTTCAGTGTGTAATATTTCTTAGATCTGTTGACAGAAATGCAATACAAGACCCATAACTATGTTTTCAGCGGGGTATAAAGACCTTACGTAATAAACCGTTACGTTTTTATTACCTTAGAAATGAACAACACCAGGTTGCATCAACACAGGCACTTAAATTACCTGAGGCAAGCACCGGCCTTAACACCACAACTCAGTATCATGCCCCCTGTAGCTTGGAGGGAAATAACCCATATGGCTCCTACAGAAACATTTCTTGGAATTGTTAGTGTTTTCGATCATAACATTAGTGCTCAAGATACAAAAATAGGACTGCTAGAAACATTTCTTGGAATTGTTAGTGTTTTCAATCATAACATTAGTGATTAGGACACAAAATCAGACTGATTTGGAAGGAGTTACCTTGAATAGGTGTTTCGCTCATCCGCCTGTAATGTGACTGTGTGACCTATGTTAACAGTGCACTGCAATCCACGCGCGGTAACCAATCAGGCGATCCCTTTATAAGTAATTATGTGATATTAGAACTTGGAAGGGAGGATCGCTCGTTTGGAATTGTATTTTTTGTAATTTTGAAGTGTTTTATACGTATGGATGTTATTTCAGGCCAGTCAAATGCTGATTTAAGAGGCTCAGCTGATCATCAACTCACTTTCAGCCGCTCGGTCATCACTTTAAAAAACAAAAACCTTCATTTTAACAAAGAAAACAATGCTCCAGAGATTTTTCTAAATCAACTTAATGAAAAATGGAACAAAACCTAACCACTCTGGCATTAAAAACAAAGGTGGACTTGCATATCTTACAGTTATTTTATATTTTATGACACCTATTTATTTGGCTGACATTGATATACATTGAATGTTCATAGTCTGGAATTCTGCATAGGGAATTGGACACAATCTCATCCCCATCCCCAGTGAAAGAGTACACATTTTTTGACATTGAAAAAACTTTTATTAACCTTGTCATGGTTTTTTTTGTAAGTTTGTGTGTGTGTGTGTGTGTGTGTGTGTGTGTGTGTGTGTGTGTGTGTGTGTGAAGGCATCTGCATTATCATTAGCAGGTGGTGTGTTAATGTTAATGATGACGGTTCCTTTTCCACCCCACAACCACAATGTTGCTGCTGAAACAAAAGAAGACGGTCAATTTGTATTGTGATGTACAGTATCTGTTTTCACCTCTGAAATGTGTGAAATTGTGTGATATGTAAACTTACGGAACCAGGCACAGCATCAGGAGGTGGATGAGACACCACCTGGCCGCAGAACTTGCAGGCTATGAACTTGAGGTGCCGACTCCTTTTAGAACAACCTAACAATATTTCCGTCACTAATATTAACAGCTGGAGGATGACGGTTCCTTTTCCACCTCACAACCGCAATGTTGCGGCTGAAACAAAAGAAGACGGTCAATTTGTATTGTGATGTACAGTATCTGTTTTCACCTCTGAAATGTGTGAAATTGTGTGATATGTAAACTTACGGAACCAGGCACAGCATCAGGAGGAGGATGAGAGACCGCCTGGCCGCAGAACTTGCAGGCTATGAACTTGAGGTGCCGACTCCTTTTAGAACAACCTAACAATATTTCCGTCACTAATATTAACAGCTGGAGGATGACGGTTCCTTTTCCACCTCACAACCACAATGTTGCTGCTGAAACAAAAGAAGACAGTCAATTTGTATTGTGATGTACAGTATCTGTTTTCACCTCTGAAATGTGTGAAATTGTGTGATATGTAAACTTACGGAACCAGGCACAGCATCAGGAGGTGGATGAGACACCACCTGGCCGCAGAACTTGCAGGCTATGAACTTGAGGTGCCGACTCCTTTTAGAACAACCTAACAATATTTCCGTCACTAATATTAACAGCTGGAGGATGACGGTTCCTTTTCCACCTCACAACCACAATGTTGCTGCTGAAACAAAAGAAGACGGTCAATTTGTATTGTGATGTACAGTATCTGTTTTCACCTCTGAAATGTGTGAAATTGTGTGATATGTAAACTTACGGAACCAGGCACAGCATCAGGAGGTGGATGAGAGACCGCCTGGCCGCAGAACTTGCAGGCTATGAACTTGAGGTGCCGACTCCTTTTAGAACAACCTAACAATATTTCCGTCACTAATATTAACAGCTGGAGGATGACGGTTCCTTTTCCACCTCACAACCACAATGTTGCTGCTGAAACAAAAGAAGACGGTCAATTTGTATTGTGATGTACAGTATCTGTTTTCACCTCTGAAATGTGTGAAATTGTGTGATATGTAAACTTACGGAACCAGGCACAGCATCAGAAGACGGACGAGACAACGCTCGGGCAGTTTCTCCGGCTGCATCTTCAGCCTCCAGTGCGTTGTTAACGATTTTTGAGGAAGTAACAGTCAGGTGACGACTCTCTTTGGGACATCTTCCAAGTTGAATAAAACAAGATATGACCATGTGAACCATTTGAACGAGTACATTAAATGCATTAAAAGCTTGAATTCCTGGGATGTTAGGAGCACATACAATATTTGTACTGACAATGTCGATGTTTTTCAACAGAGCTACTCAACTTCAGACATTAATGTTCTCATTCTGGTATCCTGCATAGAGAATTGGACACTCTTTGTAACATATCAGATTCTGTGTTTGGAAGATTTAGACAATTGGATTTCATTCTTGGAGTTAAATTAGGAAATAAGATTTCATCTTTAGATTGTTGCATACATGTCCAATATGCAGAAGGCTACCTCAAATTAGACATTGATATTCCCTTTTTGGAATTTTGCACTGGATACACTTTTAGGAACAATAGAGCATACCTTTGGAAATACTACAAAATACGATTTTACTATGGGAAATGTATCGTGAATTCTCGAATGTGAGTTACCTTTCATTCGAGATGTACTCTAATAGACGCATCAGGAAGCAGAATGAGCCAGAGCGCTAAGTTAAGACTGCTCATGGAGTTCCTCAAGGATCTGTCCTCGGACCAATCCTTTTCACTTTATATATGCTTCGTTTAGGCAATATTATCAGGAAATATTCCATAAGCTTTCATTGTTATGCAGATGATACTTAGTTAGATCTATCGATCAAACCAGATGAAACTCATCAGTTAGCTAAACTTCAAATGTGCCTTCAGGATGTTAAAACCTGGATGACCTCTAATTTTCTAATGTTAAACTCAGATAAAACTGAAGTTATTGTTCTGGGGCCCAAGCACCTCCGTGACGCATTGTCTAAAGATATAGTTTCCCTTGATGGCATCGCCCTGGCCTCCAGCACCACTGTGAGGAATCTTGGAGTTATCTTTGATCAGGACATGTCATTTAAGTCTCACATTAAGCAAATTTCAAGGACCGCCTTTTTTCACCTACGTAATATTGCGAAAATCAGGAACATCCTGTCTAAAAATGATGCTCCTGCGCCCTGTGGGCTTGTCCCTGGTGTAGCATTGAAATGATTTGCAGTGAAACAGGAAGTTGTTGTAACCTCACTGTACATGCTCAAATCTCTACCAAACTTTACTTGGTTGATAGGAGTCCCGCCCTGAATACATCTACTTACCAAAATTCATCACAGCGCCACCTACTGGCAACAGGAAGTGACCTTTAACGAAGCAGCCCCCGCAGCACGTTTTAACTACATGGATGAAATTTCTGTGGCACATGTATCATGTCCAGACGTACCAAAAAGCCTCTTACCCAAGAGGGAGTCGGCCAGTTGGATTTAATGGTTATTTTCACTCATTTGCAGGTCTGTACCCTTACAAACTCCTCCCAGCTAATTGGTCAAATTTAGGTTGTGTAGTGAACAACGATGTGGATTTGTGCATTTTATATTGAATGAATGTGGAGCTACCCTAAATTCCTTTCTCCTCCCCAGAGAAGATGGGGAGGGGTCAAAGTTGCTTTCTTTAAGTGCTAGCCCGACCATAAAACTGGCACCATTTTGATTCCGAAGCTGATAACGCGGGGCCTGACTGTTAAACTGACAAAGGGACACGAGCCAGCCATTGGCATCTCCCTGAACAGCCTATCAAAACTTACCCCACCACACACGTTTCCGTGGAAACTGACCTTATTCTTTGTTTTATTACCACATCAAAAGGATACTCCTTGTCTCACCTAAGTGTGACATGTTCCAGACACTGAACTTTGGATGACAAAGGACTGCATTCTCCAAAAGACTCAAAGCATCTAATTAAATTTAATTAAATCTTTAGTTACCTGAATATGTTTGCCTCTATTTGAGTAGTTATGTTAACTGTTGTTGCTATCTGTTGATATTAGTGCTGAAAAGAAGTTACTTGTGCAGTGTTTTTATTTTCAGCAAGACACTCCTTCATCTGATGTAATCAATGCTTGTTCATAATACTTTCTTACAAAATCCCTTTTTAAATGATGACAAAGAAATGTTTTACTATACTCTTAATCGCCAGCTTGAATTTAAGGATGAATCAACAAATTCCCCGGTTCCTAAGGAGAGACGATCTTTGATTTAATCCAAGCTTTCCTCATGTAACCTGAGCTCCCCCAAGTGGACGAAATAAGTATTACATGCCCTCGTCGGAAATGCGGTTAAATGTGTAAAAATACTGACCAATAATGTGACAATTGTTTCCTGTTACCAAATGCCTAGAACAGTACAACCGTTCAACCATTGAGGTTCGATTGTGGAAAATATTTGATTATAATACGTGCAAATAGATTTCTTTTCTTTAGACATTAAGTTTAGAAAGGCAGTTCCTGGGGAAACCTGAGACGCCCCCTGGGGAACCACGCCCCAGGCAACAAAAGAGCGACACGCGACCTGCTCGCTAGACTCTTAGTCTCTTCCCTCTCTCGCTCTTCCACTCTGCCCTCTGGATGCTTCGGCACGCGCGTAGCGTGCCTCGCCAGGCCACACGCCCAGACTCGGCCAGCGAAACCAACAGGCCTTTGTTCGCCTGAAGCTACACACCTGAAGTGCCGAGACATCGATCTGCCTTCAGTTTGTTTTATTTTCTTTATTTCTTTTGTTTGTTAAAGTTATGAGTTCCGTTAAGTTACACTGGACTAATTCAGGAACGACCAAGTTCCATTTTAAGCTTTTTCGTCGAGCCAACTTCACCGAGGTCAGACCAAGCCACGTGGTCTCGCCAGCTACAACCAAGGAAACCAGTAAACAGCCGAATTGCCAGACGGAGGAGGCGTTTTCAATCAGACACGGAGAACCCCGGAGAATCCCTAGCAAAAAGCCAGGATCGGCAGCTAGCGTGGGACCCGTGCAACAGGCCAAAAGCAGGCTGTCCACAAGCAGTAAGACTTAACAAACGTTCTGTGATCAGATGTCCATTTTAACTCCTCAACTATAGCATTAGTTTACTTTCATTAGTTCTTCTACGCCGTATGAGTCAAATGCTTCCCACAATCGAACCTCCAGGCTCATTGTTCAGCAAATGTTTATGTTCCCTGTATCCAACCATCTTTTTATCACCTTAGTTAGAGAATAAATTCACTGTAATATAATCAAGAGCTGTGTGTGTTGCCTATTTATAGTTCCTGCCAAGAGAATTGACCCTTTAGATATGAGACTGACTGACTGATTTAAGATAATTGAGCGATTATTAACTAACTGATCACTAGTAATAATTGTATAATTATTCAAAACTACCTAGAGGTCCGGAGACTCTAGGATTATAACAACTCCGGTGGTGCCCTTTACGAGGAAAAATGATTTTATGAATCTTAAAAATTCATAATTGGGTATCAATTCTCATAAATTTATTAAAATGAATAACTAATAAATTTAGGTCCACTACATAATGGAGCCTTCCGTGTGAGGCCTTGTGACATACTATAATAATAGACTATACACACAGCCCTGATGCAGAGAAGTTATTGAGAAAAGTTATTGAGTCCCAGAAATTTTTCCCTCCAAAATTTTGCCACTGAAATAATCGCCCAGTAAGTTGCTCCCTAGAAACTCTCCTGTCTTCCCTCTTAACTTAACGTTAGTGATGAAAGTGTGTGTGAGTTTTGACCATGTTCTTTGTTGTGAAATGAAATGCTTTGTGCAACTTGTTTGGCCGCCGGGCCATTGTTCTTTGTTGTTCAGTACAGAGCTGTAGTGAGCTGAGCTATGAGGACCGAGCTAATGTTAAACTGAATGCATTCCTGTAACGTTGCCATATGAGAAATCTGAGCTAAAGCTACATACAATCTCCGCTGACGAGTGGATGAAATGCCCTTTTGGTTGAGAGAAACTTAACCGAATAAAAAAATAATTTTAAGGCCTAATAAGAGGCAGACAGATTACAGTTGCGCTGTGCCAATGTGATTTGTTTGCGGCTATAAATAACAGTCTGACGCGCTGAGCCGTGGATTGTTATGTTATATGCAAAACTCCGGTATCCTGTTGAAATTAGCTACTTCAACAAATACAGCTGCCCGGCAGTGGAGTCACAGGCGTGAAGGCGCCGAGTTTAGCCTGTAGCGTTGTACCTACCGAGCTAAATTAACGCTAAATCGAAGCTTGAAAGCAAGCTGAGTCATTGAAACAAAGGAGCGAGTCCTTCCCCCATTTTGAGCGGGACTGGTGTCCGTCAGTGTTCTGATTTACTGCCGTTGCTGCAACGACGGTTTGCTAACTGCGTTAGCCTGAAGCTAACAGCTGTTGGGTCCGAGGACCAGAGAGGAAGCCGCTTCTTCTTCTACATTGAGAAATAGGCCGCGCCCGAGGCGGAGCCACAGCTCCCCTACTGGCTGGCGGAATAAATTGCATGCTCTGCATTAAATCGACTTCAGCGTCATCAGTGACAGAGATGAACGTTTGAATCGAGTGAATTAAACCAGACTTTGGTGATAGATCTTGTTAACTTGAGACACATAAACCATTGTGTCGACTCTCAGATTAAATTAATAAGGAGTGTTACTCCTTAAGTGTAGGATAGAGCACAGGCTCTCCTTTTTCCTTGAATAACTTTTAAAGATCTATTGGGTGTTTGCTTGTAACAAGGTACTGAGCCAATCCCGTACCCTAACCTAGGATTACACTGAGTAGTTC